TTAGTAAATATAACAATACTTCTTTGTCTTGAAAAACACAGTAAAAAAACAGCAGTTAGTGGTAACTCTGAACTCATGAGATCATAGGCAAAAGTCACATAAGTCTGTGTCCACCCGTGTACAGCGGCTAGCGTGAGGCTACTGCGCATGGACGCCATGTTAACTAGCCGCACACACCCAGCAGTGGCCATTCAGGAAATCATGGTGCACTTCATTGCTCGGTGGTCAAATTCACTTACACTCATGATCTAAACCTCAATCTTTCCATTCGTGCAAAAATTGCTAAAAAAAAATAAATGTGGTCCCCGTGGGCTAGAAATCAATTTTACTGCATTGTGTCTTTGGGGAGTCTGGTGACCACGTGTTTGTACACAAAACAATCTATGTGCACAATGTATGTGCAGTAGCCCATTTCGGTTGACAACACGTATTGCTTTGGGGCTTTCCTGTTTTATTGAATAATTTATCATGGTTATGCACGGAGCGGCAGGAAAAGCTGTACGCTGACGAACATAAACAAATTGGTAACGTCTGCTACGAATGTTACTCTGTTGGGCAGGCCATAATTGACAAAACATGAAAAATACAGAACTTACGGTACTCTCTTTGTGGAAGAAATCAATGTGTATTTTACGTTCTGAATGAAGTTTTATGCTTCGTATTTTGACTAAAGTCAGGAAGCGTATATACACCAATATGTACGTTATCCAAAGCCCAGGTTGTATTGTCAGTTTGATCCAGCCACTCAAGTTGATGCTGATAGCAATTCTTACTGCTGCAGCAACCCTAAAAAAAATATGTTGAATTCCTTTTCATGTTACCCTGATAATGTGATTATAGATTTAAGGTTTTCACCAAACAAGTGAGTTGACTCTTCTATCTCATCAAAGGTTTGATAGAATTTTGTGGATATTATTCTGCAGAGCTTAGGAGCAGAGCCATCTGCCAGCGCAGTATCATCAAGTGCTGCAGTGTCTCACATTCCCCAAGCCATTGACCTGCCTAAGAGTGCCAGCCAGCCACATCCAGTCACCTCTATGCCAGAGGATCTGACCCAGAAACTGGCATCAGCCAAACGGCTCTGGGACCTCCCTGCCCCTGGAGCCATACCCGGCAGGGGTGAGAGTGCCCTGTCTCCTTCAGGCATGAGTGCGGTCAACCCTGTGCCTGTATCCAGTCACCAGGCTATTGGAGAAAGCAATCTGGACCCCTCCACAGTGGATGATGAAACCATGCAGATGGAAAATGAGCTCCTGACAGATGTGCCCCCAGCACAGTCATCTTCCTCACACCACCCAGTGGTGTCCAATAACAGCATGATGATGCCAGCAATATCCAGCACCAGTGACGCCAACTTCTCTGAGTTTTCACATAGCTCCAGTTTATCTGGGGTAGACACTGTGTCTACAACGACGATGGCTAGTAATTATGGTGAGCTGAATGCAGACCGAATGGTTTTGAGCCAGCCTAGCAGCTCGTCTACTTCCTATGCACCCTTGACATCATCAGTCTCATCCTCAAGCACGTCCTTCACCTTCTCTGGTGCATCAAGCAGCCTGTTGAGTCCAATGCTTGCCTCTGAGTCCAGAGTCTTGCAAATCCCTATTAGTAATGTGGGCAACAAGAATCTCTCCATGTACACAGCAATCCCTAGCCAGACCATTGCTGGACAGTCTGTGAACCCAACCACTCTTCTATACTCTTCTATGATTGGCCTGGATGGGAAAGTCACCACACCAGACCAGAACAAGATACAGCCATTCGCCTTTGCTCGGCCGGCAGTCCTCCTTGCACCTACCCAGACAGTACAGGTCAGCAGTGCACAGCCGCAAAGACAAGGGACCAATGCTTCACAGTCAGTGTTTGGGGCTCAGGGCTCCTCTAGTCATTTATTCTCGGCTTTCCCAACAGGTGATGCCCCACCACGTCTGATTCAACCCCCGCAGGCTTATGCCCAACCCCAGTACAATGTTTCTGTCATTCAACCAAACTCTGTGACTCTCCCGTACAACTTGAATCAAACACCAAATGTTGCCCCATCTCCACCAGCCGCTGCTGCTGCAGCACAGCAGTCCTTTGCTCCCCTGAGCTTCCTGCAGCCCAATCTGACGGGATCTGTCATTGCATCAACCCTCAGCCAGCCATCATTGCCCAGCAACCAGTCATACTTGTCCTATGGGACAGCACCATTCTCTCAACCAGAGATGAATATGCAGAGCAGTGCTATCAAGCCTCAGAGCTCTTTCAATGGGCTGTCCACAGTCACTAAGACAGTTGCCAGTCTGCCGTATGGGACTGTACCAAGCATCAACATGCAGCAACCTCCAGTCTATGGTCAGGTAAGTGCATTGAGTACGTCAACAGTCCTCAATCCTCCAACGGGGTGAAGGTTAAGGACTGTTAACCACTTGCCGCCTGAGACTCCGGTTTCGGGCACCGTGTGTTTCTATGCGTGGCCGGGGTCTCCGAAATCGGACAAAGGGAACTGGGCCTTCTAACAAAAGACCATACTCGGAATGAAAGACCAGGCTGCTGGGCATTACCAACATTTTTTCACTCTCAATAGTGGAGATAATCCAGCCTTGTTTCGAAACTGTATACCACGGTATGGGGCATTTAGTGTGAGCGGATTACAAACGGCGACAAAAGCACTCCACCACCGCAGCGATGAGCCACACAGCAACCGCTGCACCCTAATCTGGCCCAATGCCCCAAACCCTGGTATACGGTTTCAAAACAAGGCTGGATTATCACCACTTTTGAGAGTGAAAAATGTTGCTAATGCCCAGCAGCCTGGTCTTTCATTCGGAGTACGGTCTTTTGTTACAGGGCCCGGTTCCCTCTGTCAGAGTTTGGAGACCTCGGCCAAGCATATAAAGCATGCATCTCCGATTCCGGAGTCCCCCGCAGGAAGTGGTTAAACCTGTTGGACAAAATGTCAAACTTACCAGCATGGGAGTGTCTTTGATACTGTCAGCGCGCCACGGCTGCCAACAAGTACCCTGAATGCAATTATTCGTGAAAGCATTATACAAATCTATACCCTTTGTTATGCAGGATCTGCAGGTGGGTAACCAGCTGGAACCTGGCGACCCTTGGCGCTGTGCAGCCCTGTGGGGCACGCTGCAGCCGGCTGAGTAAAATGTTTTTGACATGGTGCCTGAAGAATTAGTGCAGATTTTGTCTGCTTTGTGTTGACTTGTTGCTTACAGATCCTGTGAATGTTTCTTATGGACCTTTACTTTAACAGCGTGCTGCAACTCCAGTCGGCAGTCAGACACGCCTTTTGGGGAATGCCTTAGTGACCCCTATCCTGCAGTCTAATATTCACCAAGCCCAACAACCAGCATCATTCTTCACCACCAATCCTGGCCCCACCCAGCAGCCTACTGGAGTTGGGTCTGCCGGTTCCACCAACTTCTTCAATTCTCTGAACTCCATCCAGGGCAGTCACCCAACAGCAGCTGCAGCAGTCCAGCCACCACAGGGAGCTCAGCACCTGCAATCCCTTGGTACTGTTCCACTTCAGGCAGCAGCACCTGCCCAACCACAACCGTTACAGCAGCAACAGCAGCATCAGCCCCAACCAGCCCCATTACACTACCAGAGTCAAGCTAACCCTCAGTTTTCCCAATCTGCTAGCGTTGGTGTTGTGGGACCTTATGCCAGCCAGTCAGTAACAGCTCGTATTACTGGCCATGGTGGGGCTGTAGGAATGGATAGGAAGCCTGTGTTAGACATGCCAGCACCATCTTCAGATGTGAATGAGTCGTCTCTTATGTCCTCACCCAAGAGCAGTGACATGCAGCAGCATGTTGATGCAAAGCCATTCAGTCCAAACCGCATTTCAGGCTCATCTCAGCCAGCAGAGCCTCAGCGATCTAGTTCTCATTCAGATGCGCCCTCGATGGTCTCCAGCAGCCAGCAGTTTGTGAGTAGTAACAGTCAGGTTGTGAAGCCAACATTCCCAAATGTACCCAGCCAAGCTGTAGTTCGTCAACAGTTTGGGCTTCAAAACCAGCAGCAACCACAACAACAGCAGCAACAGCAACAGCAGGCATCTTTTATGCCTCGTGTTCCAACCACGCAAGCGCCACCACCTCGTGGAATGACAGTCCGACCTGGAGGCCCACCACAGCCATCTTCACAGATGCAACCACAGGGGTTCCCAGCTCAGGCTGTTCCTCCCCATTTGATGCGTTTTCCAGCTGTAGGGACTCAGATGAGGTTCAGACCTCCACTGCCACAGGCTAACATGTCCCAGAGGCTGCCCACCTCCTCTGCAGCTCCTGCCGGTCCATCGCCAAGATCCGCAGATCCTGGCCAGACAGGGACAACTCCAGTCTCCCAGAGTAGCAGCTTTCAGCGCAAATCAGCAGGTCCAAGCAAAGGGGCTGTAGGTCCTGGAAACATAAGCACCTCCAAGTCAGGGGCTTCTGCAGCAGGTGAGTATAAACAGCCCAGTTCAGAAAGTTCCAAGTCCAAAGCCAGTGAAAAAGAAGCTTTGTTGGCCTCAACCAAAGCCTTTTTTACCAATCTGAAGAATCAAGAGAGTAGCAAGAGTAGTGGGAAACCCACCGACAAGGTTTCCACAGAGAACAGTGGCAGTTCCTAGTTGAATGGGCCACAAACTACAGGCTCTGCCAGCAAGAACTGAGGTCAGAAGGCGTTTTAAACTTGAAGGTTCCCTGTAATAGGATAAAAATGGTCTGACCTTTGTGTAACATGGGTTAAGAATACATAGTTATACTTAGTGGTGTAGAATCTTGGTTGCAGTCCAATGCAGAGTGGGATTCAAAATCCTCCAGTAGAAACTTATTTCTGATATAAAAGCCTCTTGCTTAAATCGTAGTCTTATCTGTTCTTGTTTACAAGTTAACTTTTACCTCGTATATCAAAAGTTGTAAAGAAAGCCTGATCATAAATAATGCATTGTACATACAATATAAGGTGTACAGAAGGGCCCTGCGTAGTTGACTTTGATGAAAACCCATTTCAAGAATTAATCAAAGCAAGGTCCTGATACACGTTTCTTCTGTATAAAAACATCATCATACCGACCTTGTGGTTTCAGCAAGGTCACATTGAAATTCAGTTGTCTTTCTATCGAGGCCACAAAGTCCCTTGTAACTTTGAGACCTCCCACCTGAAACTTATGCTCATGTAATGATGGCCAACTTTGAATTGAATGAGATAAGCGTCCGCTATCCTATAGTTTCATTTGCTGATTAATTTTGTGGAGTCACTGAATGGCTTATTGCTACTGAATTTAACTCCACAAATAAAGGGACTGAATATTGATGGTGTGTCTGTGATAGCTGAGTAATTATAAAAAAGATCTATCAAAAGGGTTTTGTTCTGTATTTCTTTGTCAATATTTGGTATTGGAAGGTGCCATGTAGTTCATAGCTCCTGTTGCCAACCGTTCCAGTTTGCCTGCACAGTATGAATTATAGAGGTTTCCAATTGCAGTGTGTTCATTTTTTGGTCACTTATTTTTTAGTTTCATTGCTTGTCTACAGCTTGTATTTTAGCTTTAAGAAACAGGAATAAAAGTTATTCTTTGTAAGGGTGGTACTTGTAGGTTGCAATTTTGTTTGGTTGAAAACGGATGTGTCTGTTTGTATTCTTTCATGAAATGCGAATCTTTCATACATCTAGCATTTGTGACCGGCTCCACAAAAATGGGTATTACCGGACGTTTTTTTAAAAAGTTACATACACATTTGAATTAGTTACATTATAAGGTTTAATTTGGTGTAGGTTTGAACCCAGTGACATTTTGCAGTCTGGAGATATATCGATTTTTGCATAATCATATCATACACATTAACAAGAGTGCTTTCAGAGATAAAGCCCTAACCCCTTAAGGCCAGGATTCTTTTGACCCCAATTGCTGGGCAGTGGTATGCCCAGAATGCAAAGATGTGTCCAGCAAGCAGGCCCAATTGAACCGGCAGCTGCATGGTGAATAGACTGTTATGTGTGGTATGCACTAATCTTAATTGAACACAGGAAGTGGGAAAAAAAATCAACCAAGAAGAAAGAAGTCTCTCCATACCCATAGCAACAGTTGGGTTTCTTGTATAAATTGTGATAGAAGCCAATCAACCAAGAAGTAAAAAATCACCCCATCCACATAAAAAGCCCTTTGTGGGAAATAACACGGTGTCCCTTAATACCCTTTTTCACAGAGTAGGTCACATTTGAAGTTTAGTAGTAACATAGTTGAAATTACAAAGTACAAGAAACTTGAACAGATAGAATATTAATTGAAGACTAGTGATAACAGTTTTAATTAGAAACTTTATTGTCTTAGTACTTTTGTCATGGGTTGGTTTACTTGAAATTCTTTTTTGTTGAAAAACTCATAACTAGTTCTAAATTGATTTGTTAAGTTGACAGTGTGTTCGTAGTAATCCTTTAAATTACTGGTGCATTTGTCCAGTGTAATATTTCCTAATGTGGAGAAAAATGACAAAATTGTAAATAACTGTTGATGAATATTCAAGATGGTTGTCATTTTAAAGGTTGAATTCTTGAACATAATACTTGTTGAATCTGATAAAAAGTTCATCCTTTGTTGTCCTTTTTGTCCCAAAAGGACATTTTGAAGACTTGGTGTTCCAATTTATGATTGATGAATTTTTAAGCAGACCATCAGAGGCAGACACAGTAGGATGGTTGAATTATCCATCAGACTGCATGAAAAGTATTACTTAAGTTGAGATATTAATATAGTGGCGGTAATTTGGTATTTTATATTCCATATTTGTACAGTGAAACTTTGGTTATGATGTCCTATGCAGCTTAGGATGTTGCGCTGGTTGCCTTGCGTGCTTAAAACGGGAAATAAAAATGCTGAAAGTGTACGTTTGGTTGCGTGAGTTGCATGTACTTCTAAAGTGTGTTCAAGAAAGGATGTTTGTAACAAAGTTTCCACTGTACCCAACATAATCTTTACTTTTTTCCTTTCTTGTAATATTAACAAGGCATAATTTATAGTATTTAAATGTATACATGTAGGTACAAGCTAACTGTCTTGAGAAGATAAAGAGACCCGTAGTGAAGATTTGGATTTGTAGACTAATTGACACCTTTTGGGGGGAGAGATTTCAGATTTTTGGTCTTGGACCAACAGTCGCTGTTTCATGTGTGTACTGTTGCATTTTTCCTCCTAGTATTTTCCAATTTTAGACACCTTTTCAGTTTGAGTAGTTGTTAATTTGATTTACCATTTCACAAAATGAGCAAGTGTCATTGCTTGATATTAAAGTGGTCTTTAATTAGTAGACAACAAGTTAAAGAATACTAATATGTTTCTGCAGCAGGTACGATTCTCATTGGCTGTCTTTCTTGGTATAAGAAAGCGGCATCTTTGTTGCCGTTACTGGTTTTTGTAAAAAAAAAAAAATGGTGGGAGTCTTGTTTGATTTCTACTTGTATAGTCAGATTAAAACCCCCAGCCCTTTGTATTTGACAAATGCTAGGGTGCAGAATGGGGTTTGGTTTGTCTACTTAGGTGGATGCTTAAATACCCTTGTGTAAACATTGCATTTTGGGTGAGCTCTCTCTTGCTCACATGCTGTATCTAGACGTGATAAGTATTAATGAATTCAGAGTGTAGAGGTCGAAAGTCAATAAAAAAAAAGCTATGTTGCAATTCAGCTGGAGAGTGGAAGCTCTGAACTTTGTATTTGTCTACGTCTTGTCATTCCATTAGAAACTTTACTCTGCAAAATGCTGCTTGAAAACTGTGGACTTTTTCAGTGTTCAGTTTCTTACTTATAGGTGCCATGAACAATTTTTACTGAAGTGGAAAATTTGTAACTATGAAAGTCTTTTTTTTAATGAAAGGGAACGTGATAATGATCATATCAGTAGACTCCTAGTGACTAGACCATAAACTCTACATATTGACCGGATAGCATGTTGCCCATGTTGCTGTGCATGATTTAATAAGGCTTCTGTAGCTTGTTTGTAAGCTTTCAAGATAGCTCGCTCCAAATTCCATGGAGTGAGGTGTATTTGTAATGCTTTACATGTACATGTTCATAAGGGGTGAGATTTATCAGGATTTTTCCTGATTTCAGGATTTTTTCATCAGGATTTTCCTGATCAATTATCTTTGCAAAAATCTGCTATGTCCCAAGTCGACATGTACCACTGTAAACTTTTGAACCTACCGGTATACAAGTTTATATAGAACATAAGAAAGGGAAATAAGGTTGTCATTAGTTAAACACTGCTTTATACCGTAGACCCTTCACTGCCGTAGGGCCCTTGAAACATCTAGTGGTTGTTTTGTGGATTTTTAATTTTCCTGCTGTCTCACCCATCATAATTTCCAAGTTTCCGAGCAGTGTCAAGTAATAACAGACTATAGATGAATCTGAGGAGGCGTCATTCCTGCAGGGTCATTGCACTCACACATATCTGAACTTGAGCATGCATGTGCACTTTGGCAAGTCACAACACCCTAATGGTCTGAGAGGAATGAAACCTGTGCCTACCACCTGTTTGTCAACAGGGTGACCCCACACTAATGATTTCTAATTTTTCTGCCGGATTTGTCTATAGAATTCTTGTACAGTAAAGCTAGACAATTTTGAATACCCCTGGTGTATTACCATAGAGGAAGGGCACAGAAGGAGTTTGAACTGCCCAGGCTATAACATCTGGCCAATTACCGCTTTCTGGCATACCCGGTATGTCCATAGCCAGAGCGCAGCGCACGCCTGCCACTCACCACCTGTTTTGCAACCATAAGCCTTCTTTGTACCCTATGATCATCGCCGCAATTTTTCACTGGTAATCTGCATCTCTAAAACGTTGTGTACTGCAGGAAGTTGAATATTCATGCCATCGTTGGTGCTTGATATGACCTGAAAACAACATTAAATGTAATTTTTGCGCAGTTGCTTTTATTAGGCTGTATACCCGAAGTGTTCATGTGCAGTTGTTGCCCTTATCGAACGCTTTCTTCTGGACTTCTTTTTGGAATAAATAGCTGATCTTAGCGGGGCCAGTAATATCCTGGCAATACTTGTAATTTCTTACTTGCAATTTAATACAAAATATCGATATGACCAAGAAATAGAGAGAGGAAAATTCCTGATATTAGACCTGCTTTTGCCATCATAAATAAACTTTTAAATGTTGACACACTGTTTCATTATCCATGCAAAGTTTGTAATTCTAGTCTCCTCCATCCAATACATCAGTGTTCAAAGACTAGGTACGAATTTGGCTAAGACTGGCCAACAAAATCTTCACTACTTCTGGAAAGCTCCATTAGGAACAAAATGCGCTATTTCATCATAAAATGTGTCTTTGTACAAATGCCATAATAAAAATTATTCAAACAAAACACAAAATCTTACAAACATCTTGGCTATTTATTCCAAAAAGAAGTCCAAAGGAAAGCGTTCGATAAGGGCAATAACCGCACCTGAACTCTTCGGGTACACAGCCTAGTAAAAGCAACTACGCAAGCACTAAATTTGATGTTGTTGTCGGATCATATCAAGCACCAACGATGGCATGAATATTCAACTTCCTATACTGCAGCACACAACGTTTTAGGGATGCAGATTACCAGTGAAAAATTGCAGCGACGATCATAGGGTACAAAGAGGGCTTATGGTTGCAAAACAGGTGGTGAGTAGCAGGCGTGCGCTGCGCTCTGGCTATGGACATACCGGGCATGCCAGAAAGCTGTAATTGGCCAGATGTTATAGCCCGGGCAGTTCAATCTCCTTCTGTGTCCTTCCTTCATGAGAATACAGGATTATTTGTGTCATGAACACAAGGCCAAGTCCTGCTCTGAAATGGGAAAAATGTTGCATTTTCACTCCAAGCAACATCAGGAAACTTGATAGCAGAAGCACTCTTGCAGTTTGGACTCTTAAATTCATTAGTTTGACGTCAGATCCCCATGATGTGCAGAGCTTTCACATTCCTATTGATTTGGGATTTATAGTCTCATGGTGACACAATCAAAAGAAGTATACCTCTTTATCTAGCATTTGGTTGCTGACATTTGTGAAGCATAACAAGCAGCAAAGGCAACACTTTACTACCCTGTGCATAAGTACATGTACAACCTCCTTAATATCATAGAAGACTATAAGGAGATGAGAGACATTGCTAGTGGCCATCCAACATTTACAAAAAGAAGGGACATCCAGCTTTCTTCACCAGTTGAGAGCAGACGAAACAAGAAAAGAGATAAGTTATCCCCAAAGATCGTATAGCGCCGCATAGCGGCGCAAGATGGAGAACTTCACCGTGAATACACATAAAACAGCGTAATTGGATGGGCGCCATTTGAGCAAGCGATATGCCTGCGCAATGCACATTAATGCACAGGCGCCATGGCAGGCACATACATCTGATGCACCTGCGCCTAAGCATTACCGTGAACCGTGCAGGTGTATCACTTGCTCAAATGGCTCCCATGGTAATTACACCTTTTGGGCAGAGTTATCCATCTTGCTCCGGCGTTATACGATCTTTGGTTATTTCCCAGTAGCTAAACCCCAAATGAATTTATTCCAAAACGATTGCCAAGTTTCATTGACTAGGTTGACTGCAGCCAAGCCCTAGCATGGATCTTTCAGTCCTCATAATTCCTGGTGGAGGCATCCACCTCTTTTCTCTCTTTCACCCCTGCATCTTTCTTCAGTACGTCCATGTTCAGACTATCAGATGACAGGCAGATAGCTCAGGATTACTGTGGCAGTGACCACCAAGTTCCATCCTATCCGCTTTGAGCAGGAACAAAAGAGGGCACGTTTTGAAATGAAATTGACAGTCTTTTGGTACGCATTTACCACATAGGCAAGCAACTTTATGCGTGTTTGATGCAGATATGCTGAGTGCGCGCAACAAATTTAGTCTGGAATGTATGGTCTTCATATGCATGCCAAACACGTATCAGCTGTCTTTTTTTCGCCGGTGAGGGTGCACTTCAGCTTGAGGCAGATAGGCTTAGGTAATCTTGTCTTCGACCTTCAGTGTTTGCTGATGTGGTATCTCCAACTAATACCAAGTACACTCTCAGAATATGGGTGTAACAGCCATATATGATTTTTCTAAGGTTGTAAATTTAAAGTCAGAATTTGCACCCATATAGCAGCACTGACTTGAGTGGAGTAAAGAAGCAGCAAAGTTTCACCTGTCAAGCCTTGTTGGCAACATGTACAAGTCCATTCCGTTTTTATTTCATGATGAGGGCTGTCCAAGCAAGGACTTTCCTGATTTTGATGTCTTGTTCTGTTATGTTCACCAATGAGCCCAAGGTTTAATTAAAATTTAAAGTCTTTAACCCGAGTTCTCAAGATTCCATCCCTTGAGGGTAGTCGGGGACATCCAGTGGAGTGTTGTATATTATCACTTCTGTCTTTTTGGCATTACAGGTTAATCCCACTTTCTGAGTCTTTCCATTCTTGAGAGCAACTCCTCTACCTGTTGGATCTGGTCACTCGGCAGATATCACCTGCAAAATCAGGGTCTGTCAGAGATGTAGCAAGAACCTGTGTTGATTTCCTTGATGCAATTGTGAAGCTAAGTTTAGTCTCAGGTCCACCTGTGGCTTGATTTAAGGTGTAATTTAGGATGATGATGAAAAGGAATGGTACCAAGGATGTCACCTTGCAGAACTCCAGAATGTTGAATACATCCCCCTCCCCACACACACACTTCTCAAGGTGAGGGGGTGGGCACATTTTCATGGCGAACGAAAAATAAATGGATTGTGAGGAATTTTTTAGCATTCCAAATGACTAAAATGTACTATCATTCAAAAAGGGAAAGCAATGTGTAAAAAGCCAGTAAATTTGCCACAGTACATGTGCAAATCAGTGCACACAACGAGTAAGTCTCCTACACAAAAAGCACATAAGAATGGACACAATTGCATCCACTGTTTTTGAAACTATTTCAAACTCGGATCATGTTGCAAAGTGAACACCACTTGGATCATTTAATGCTTCCAGTTCCAAGTACATATACAGTGTAATTTGACCACACACCTAGCGTATCCTTCCTGTGACAAATGTATTGTAATGAATAAGGTACCGGTACATGTATGCCTTACACAGTATCTTGAAATCAAATTAATGAAATACACCACAAATGCAGCAAGTGATTGGCCACTTTGAATTAGCATAAAAAGCAACTAAATACAACTAAAATGTGCTGAATAAAACAGGCAAGTTCATAACAGTGTGGCAACATAATTTGCTGTCTTATTTCCAATTCTTACATGTATATAGGGAATGTAAGGAGCTAATCTTCCGGTCAGTGATCACATGTACACTACATACTTGTTTCATTTTACGGGGAGGCAGGGTTTCAACTATAATTTAGCCAACAGTCAGAGTGAATGTTTATGAAGACCTTTCCCCATAAGGTAACTGTTTCACCATTAAGAGAGAGACCATGCGAATTTATTCCCTAGTAACATAAATGGAGCACATGCACATGGGCTGAAGGTTTCAATTTCTCAACTTTAAAATTAGTTTTGTTTGAAAAAAATGGTCTTGACAACATGTCATATGGCATTGTTCACATTCACAGTCCATAAAAACACTTCCACTTGCCTAGTCAGGTGATGACATCTTGCAAATTCCTCAGCACTTCTCACATGTACAAAAACTATGTTCCTTATACACTGAGAGGACATCCCATATTTTGCCCCCTCCCCATCTGCCAGCTTTACATGTACACCAAAATTGATATTTATTATCTAGTAGTGCCGTATTCTGTACAGACAGGCAACCATCAACATTGCTGTCTGATAGATGCACAAATTCTCAAGTTGTTTAAACTGTTATACAAGTATGATCCATATTAAAACAAATGAAGAACATGAACACGAAAAGGGCCCACATTCATTGGACACATTTTTGCAAAAATTAATCCAAGTACATTTTATTTCTTAGATGATGTTAATTTCGGGACATAAGTTTAACCCTAAGTGAGCTGGGTTATTTAGGGCCATTTTACAGTCGGGGAAGGGGGTGAGGGTGGGAATTCACCCCTTCCCAAGTAATTGGCTGTCCCAAATGATTTTTTTTTACTTGGCATGCACGTAAAAACACTCCTTATCATTACAAGTGTGAAGTCAATCAGAGATATGGTTTCGTTGTCATATGAAGTTGAAGCCTACACATGTGCATTGTGTGTGCATTGAGCAGACAATGAAAAAAAAATGTTTTTGACTGACATGCCTTGGAAATATGTTGGCAGTGCCAGAATGGTTATGTTTTCCACAAAGAAGGTGTCAAACTGACTGCAAAAAGTTACTGGGGGAAAAAAATCCTTAAAGGCTCGACTCTTGAAAAAATGCACTGCAGCGATACCGGAAAAATGTTCAAGGGTCACACTCCCACCCGGGCTCTTTTAGGGTTAATAAAAACACATGAAAAAAAAAATTTTGAATACCATGCATGTCCACGTAGTTGAAGATTCTTAGCTTGTGGTATGCAACTTCATGCAATCCTGGCTCTATGCTGCATGTAATGCACTTTAATGCAGTACTTTTTTTTTACACAACGGTGTGGTGGTAAACCATGTACATAAGAAAATGATTTCTGTTACTAGTCTCCAGAGTGGTAGCAATGGACCTATTGATATGTTGGACTAGCCCTCCTCTTATTAAATGAAAGACCAAACCCCTCAGAACCACATATCAGAAACAAAAGGAATTTTGAGCAAATGAAAGTAGGGTCCATCTGAAAAGCAGTGCGAGAAGAAAATCCCACTTTTAGCAACTGTCCTCATCAGAAATTAAACCTGCCACCTCATGGCTACGGGTTCCACAATGTGCATGTACCACTGTACCACCGCCAGCTTGGCAGAGGACAGAATTTTTCAATTTTCATTTAATGGATTGCTCTTATAGGACACCATCTTTGTAAGACAATTACCATTGTATGTGTGCGTGCAGTGTGCAAATGTTCTACACATGCGTTGATCTTCAAATGTGGCACAGCCAATGCGCGTAATGAAAATTTGACGTCTAAAATGCTGATGCATGTGTCAATCTGTAGGAAGTGACGTCATTTAACAGAAACTATAAAAATAACTTGATGACAATTTCCATCTAATATATGGTTACAAGTATGCATGCACATGCACTGTATAAACCATGTACCATCCTCTAGTCTTCAATCGAGTCACTCAAAATTGATAACCCCAGGGTGTCGTGTAAAAAATTTTCTACTTGCACGTATTGATATGCTTGACTTTAAGAATTGAACAGTTTGCCACATATTACTAAGAACTAATGAGATTACTAATCATACGTTAGACAAAACATGGACACTTCATACACATGTGCATCAACCAATGGGTATTATCCTGGGTTGGGATCCTATTCTATCCAGTAATTCAGCTGGGATCAACCTGGCAAGATGCAACAGTGACAAACAATGAATGTTGAACACATTCTAGCATATACAATTATTACCAAGCTGGGTACACATCAGTGTCACTATGACAATACAGTACAAAACATCTGCTTCTGGCAATCATCTTTGGGTGTATTCTGGTATTTGAAGTCAGTGACAATGAATGCTCAAACTTCTCGTGTATCCTTGGAAGACAACAGCACTTACCAAAGAGATACATGTAGCTATCATGCAACCACAATCAATAAACAGGTGAACATGGATATGAACAAAATGTGAACTTTCATGTCATTTTACAATGTAGAAAAATTCTTTCATACAACACACGTCTAAAAGTTGTAACCTGGGGTGTGGAGCACCCGGGGGTGTGTGGGTGGGGAGAACCTGGGGGTGTGTGGGTGGGGAGAACCTGGGGGTGTGTGGGTGGGGAGAACCCGGGGGTGTG